TTTCCGGATGACCCATAGTGAAAATCCTGTCCAAAATTGCATAAACTGACTGCTGCTTCATAACAAAGAAGCGCAGACAATTTAGTGAGCCATTTTGCTTTATTCCAACATAATCTCAAGTCAAAAAATAATGAATCTTTGGCTCCATTGCAAATGATGGAAAATATTTCTACACGGTGATGTTAATAATATGAAAATGTTCCTTGTTAAAAATACTATCATAAAAGTATAAATTTATTAAGTTTCACATAAATATATTAATTAAAATAATGGATCAAAGTTTATCATTTTTTATTGGAAAAGTCAAAAATACTAACAAAAAAGGAACGGAGGTAATATTTAATTATGAATCGTCATACTATTATACTCCCTCCGTCCTAAAACAAATTCCCACTTTTTCAAAATGGAAGTTCCTAAATTAAAGTCACACTTCCTTAACTTTCTTAAATGGTAAACAAATATATATCAAACAGTGTCAAGCAGTGCAATACAGTGTCAAACAGTGTTGCTACGGTGTGAAGTCAAATTCATTTCATTAATATGTGTGAAGTCAAACTAGGACAATGATTTAGGGATGGCGGGAGTAGTATTATGTCTTGTCAATGTTTATTAGTCATTGATAAGACAAATAATTAAACATTTATTACTACCTTTCAACAAATTTCACTTTTTTCTAAAGTAAATACTGACTACCTAATATTTCACATTATTATTCTTGTGAGTGTGTCGTCTATTTATTTTTTATGGACTTGAATTATATTTTTAATTATTTTTAATATCGTTTATTGTTGATTTATTAAAACCTGTTTTTGCAAAAAGACTAACTGTCGTCTAAGCATATAATGAAACTAACTCATGTATGATGCAACCACATCATTGCATCAGTCAATACAAACACAGCGTATGAACAGTTGATTAAAAAATTGTTTTTTTTGCCGGACATAATAACAACATTAATTACTTTAATTTTAGTAATTCAAGACATAAGTAAATAATCTAATAGGCTACATGTTTTATTTATATAAATTTATGACATTAATTTCACAACACCTATTTAAACCTGTATATACACCCTATTATTTCTAATATTAAATACTTCCACCATCTCAAAATGAAAGTTCCATTGTGAATTTAATTTGTTTACTAATAATAAAATTAATTCGACCCTTACAATATTGCAATGAAAACAAATAATCAGAACTTGCATATTTAGAAGTTATACTTGAAGTTCTACTAACCCACAAAAAATGTATTTCCATATGGTAATAACACATAACATTAGAGATGAAAAATGAGCTGATATTTTTATTTTGGGACTTGGAAAATACATAACATTTCTAATAATTTTGAATAATTAATGATGACGGTTAAATATGCACAAACCTTACATCTAGAACAAACCTTACATCTAGAACAGCTATTGACAATTTTTACTTGATAACGTGAAAGGGGCATACGCCTATTAACTTTTTACTTTCCCTAAAATTAAAAGAGGGACATGGTTCTCTTTTTTGTCAATGGTCAATACCATCAACATTAAACCATTATTACTATTATACCCGCAGCTCTTCCTCCATTCTTCACAGTATCAGTTCTTACCTCTTTGTTACAAGCTGAGGGAGGTTGACGTTATGGAGGCTTTGTTCCAAGAATTCATTACCTCATCAAATGAATTAGTCTACAGTCACTCCTCTGCCCCACGGGATCCGAGAATTGTAAGTGGACAAAGATTCGCCAATCCTAGTAGCAGTTTATCAGTCATTGATAATCTCCCCGAGAACAAATCTGCTACAACAGAAGATCAGGAGGAAGGAGACTACCTAAATGTGACTTTAAATTACATAAGCCAGATGCTAATGGAGGAAGAAGACCTGGAGAAGCAGCCTTTCATGTTCTGGGACTCCATGGCTCTCCAAGCTACTGAGAAACATTTATCTGATGTGCTCAACGGAACCGACAGCCCGCCCAAAGGATTCTCACAGTGCAGTCATATCAGTAACTCTTTGTCGAGTCCATTTGATGGCCAACATGATTTAGTATCTTTGGCAAACGGAGGAGTGGAGGAGACCAATAGGGACCGATCACCACCGAAAGGAGAACAGAACCACGAATATCCATCATCTGATCATGACTCTGCAGAAACCAACCAAAGGAACAAGCACTTGGCGGCAAGTTATTTGAGAAAATCGGAGCCGTTGGATGATATGTGCTACGATGTCTTGCTTGATCCAGTTGGCAGAAACACTGCTGCCTGTACCTACAAGAAACTAGACAACACGGAATCCAAGGCAGGAGGAATAACCCCATGTGGCAAGAAGAGACCACGAATGGAAAAGGAATTCATAGATTTCAGCAGCTTACTCACCCGATGTGCACAGTCCGTAGCGATTTATGACACCAAGGCAGCTATCGAGGCTCTTAAGGAAATAAGGCTACACTCTTCTCGTTATGGCAACGGGACAGAAAGGATGGCATTCTATCTTGCCAATGCGCTCGAGGCACGCTTAAATGGAACTGGGACATCACTGTACGTATCTAAACATTACAACAATATCTCAGCTGCAGATACCTTGAAAGCTTTTCAGATGTATATCAAAGCAAGCCCCTTCAACGTAGTATCAATTATGATGTTAAACAAATGCATAATGAAGCTTGCAGCAAGAGCAACAAGGCTGCACATCATTGATTTTGGAATTATGTACGGTTTTCAATGGCCAAATCTCATCCAAAGTCTCTCAATGAGGCCCGGTGGGCCTCCAGTGCTTCGCATTACTGGGATAGACTTTCTGCAGCCTGGTTTCCGTCCGGAAGAGCTGGCCAATGCCACAGGCCTGCGACTGGAAAACTACTGCAAAGGATACAATGTTCCATTTGAGTACAAATCTGTTGCAAGGAAATGGGAGAGTATAACACTGGAAGACCTTGATATTGATAGGGATGACGACGTCCTGGTTGTCAATTGTTTGGACATGCTAGGAACGGTGCCAGATGAGATAACGGTGCCAGATGAGATACCGGTGCCACATGATAGCCCAAGGGACACTGTGCTCAATCTGATCAAGAACATTAATCCAGATATGTTCACGCATGGGATTATGAATGGGGCCTACAACAGCGCGTTCTTTGCCTCACGATTCCGTGAGGTACTCTTTCATTACTCCTCACTGTTCAACATATTTGATGCGACTGTGCCAAGTGAAGATAAGGACAGGTGGCTGTTTGAGGAAATGGTGTTTGGAAGAAATATGCTGAATGTGATTGCCTGTGAAGGAGAGAAGAGAGTCGATAGGCCAGAGACATACAAGAGCTGGCAAGTTCGAAGTCTTAGGGCTGGACTCCAGCAACTGCCACTGGATCAAGAGATTGTCAATTGTGCAAGGGAGAAAGTGAAATCTGATTACAATAAGGATTTTTACATGGAAGAAGATGGTAACTGGTTGTTGCAAGGATGGAAAGGAAGGGTACTGCAAGCTATGTCCTGTTGGAAGCCTAATAACAACTAGTGGAATAGTTTGTTTTCATCTGGAATAGCAATGTCTATTATTCTTAGTTTCTTACTACGGAGTATTATGTTTATGATTCAATCAAGTCAATTTTATCATTATTAACATACCTGTATAAATAATTATCATAAGATGGTCGTATGAGGTAGGAATCTGAGAGGTAACTAGCTAATTCACAGTGAATTCAAGAAGTAAAAGATAAATGAAAGAATGAAACGGTGTTAGATACCTCAACAAAAGCAGCAGAAATTTATGATTTATTGAAGATGAAAGTCTGGTCGATTACAACTGAACAGGAAAGAACAGAAAGAAAGAGAAGAAACCAGAACGAGACACTTCGATCAGTCCCCTCTCCCAAGTCCCAAGCCTAATTCCAAATTCTGCCTAACTCCCTTCTTCCTTCCTTCCCACTCTTATAGTAATTATATCCTAACGGGCCAGCCCATATTCTATGACATGGTCCAGAATCCTTATTTACACAATACCACACTTATTTAATATCAATCTATTACTACTACTATTATTCTCTACAGCCCAGGGCCCTATCATATCTCCCCCTTCGACAACCACCTTGTCCTCAAGGTGGGTGATAGGAGACAGCTTTGATCTTCCACTTCATCTTCATCATGATGCCTCTACCTTCCCAGTATCTCACTGATTTCTGAGCGGAGAGCTTCAGCAATTGATCTTTCCAATTGACATATGTTTCTGCAGCATAGGATCTATCTAGTGAAGTTGCATTCTCTTCATTAACCTTCAATCCTTCAATAGCCACAAACTTTTCCTTGCTTTCGTGAGGCTCCTCCGAGGTTCTCTCTTCTGAAACTATCAGTGTGCTGGATGCAAGTTTGATGTAACTCAACTCAAGGTCTTCAAACAGCCTCATGCAAACTTCTCCAATTTTCATCCACTTTTCTGTACGGTAGCTAGTATCAATGACAGAATTACTTGTAATAGCAGGATTTGTTTCATAAAACTTCAACAGCTGACAGCAGTTGTGCACAACAGTGCTGTCATGCGATTTCAGATACTCTAACCGCCAAAGTCCCAAATCTGAGAATTTTTCTTCTTTCCTTTCCCCTATAGGCTGAAACCCCAGTGATGGTGTTAACTGATTAGCAAAGCCAAGTCCAGAACCCTTGCTTCCTCTCCCATCCGGGCCAGAATCAATTAAAGTACGGACCTCATCAATTAGAAGGCTATGCTCAACCACCAGAAGCTGTCTAAATGGTATAATTGCTTTAGTCTCTTGAGAAACAATGTTGTGAGTAAATCCATTCTCATCCATAGCATTTTCCTCAACCTGAATCTGCTCAAGGAACACTTTCATTTTCATTTACCCCGGTGCCGCAAAGGCTCCCACCTACGGTGGGGTAAGGGGGGGTCGGATGTACGCAGTCTTACCCCTGTACTAAAGCACATAGAGACTGTTTCCGGATGACCCATAGTGAAAATCCCATCCAAAATTGCATGGACTGAATGCTGCTTCATAACAAAGAAGCGCAGACAGTTTAGTGAGCCATTTTGCTTTATTCCATCATAATCTCAAGCCAAAAATAATGAATCTTTGGCGCCATTTTGTTCAAGGAACATTGAGCTAAATAAAACTTAAATCCTTTTTCCCACTTTCTCCTTTGAGCTATGATTGACATCAACTCCACACAGCCTCATACTTTACATTCCAGAAACCTTGGTGTTTGGCTGTTGCCCCATCTCAACCTTGTGGAAAGGTTTTTGATCAGATCCTTTACTTCCTCTTCCATCATTCTCCTCTTCTATTTCCTCAGTTTCCTTTATGCTGATAGTCCCTGGAGAACTTTCCCAAATATTCGAAACAACATTTTTATTAACGGCAAATTCATATTCCCCTGCAGGCTTCAACAAAGGATTGAGTCACCACAGAGGATTTTTTTTCTCGTCCCCCATCACCGTAGATGAACTTACCTTCAAAGAGCGTTTTCTGTGGATTGCCCGACTCTTGCGACACGGATAGCAACGGTAAACTGATGGTGTCTCCTCTGTCTAGAGTCGTACTAGGGTTCGTAGAGGGATATCTCAGGGATTTGGAGTCTCCTCCTGATATCGTCACAATTTGACGCGAGCTGATAGTGGATGAATCTGCGAACGAGGAAACCTGAGAGCGGACAGAATCTGCTAGCGCTGGGGATGAAAAGACCTGCGAACAAGGAGAAGCCGTTTGCGACTTCGAACTGGGAGAAACAGTTCGAGATGGCAAAGTTGTCGATTGCGATCTAGAAGCTTCTTCCTGCGACACCGTCTGCGCACTTAGTGACGAATTCCAACGGTGTCTAGGAGGACTCCTCGCTCTGTCTCTGTGTCGCTTGAGTCTGTGACGAATTTTGCCAAACATGTGGCGCATCTCCTTCGCCCAATCACTTTCAACCTTTTCCGCCAGCTTCTCCACTTTTCCGCGCTCAACCATTTCCGCTACCTTCTCCCTTTTTCCGCGCGAAGCATCCTGATCGGATCTTCCATGCTTCCTGCGTAGTTCCTTTCCGCCTTGGGTAGACACACGCTTCTCAGTGTTCACGCGCAAGGCAGAGGCAGCCACTTTCTGTTCTGACCTTTGATGTTCCCTGCGCTGCTCCATTTTTTATTGCGTGACTTAGATTGAAGCTTCCCAGGGACAACTGCTCTGATACCAATGTTAGATACCTCAACAAAAGCAGCAGAAATTTACGATTTATTGAAGATGAAAGTCTGGTCGATTACAACTGAACAGGCAAGAACAGAAAGAAAGAGAAGAAATCAGAACAAGACACTTCGAGCAGTCCCCTCTCCCAAGTCCCAAGCCTAATTCCAATTTCTACCTAACTCCCTTCTTCCTTCCTTCCCACTCTTATAGTAATTATATCCTAACAGGCTAGCCCATATTCTATGAGATGACCCAGAATCCTTATTTACACAATACCACACTTATTTAATATCAATCTATTACTATTATTATTATTCTCTACAGCCCAAGGCCCTATCAAATTGTCTCAATAGGGAAAAATGATTAATAGAAAAGAGAACGTCTCGGGTAGTTAAAGAGTGTCAACTCTCCAGTCCCAGCCCAATAACAGAATATCAGCCTACTCTTTTTACACTATAGCTGCTTATTTATAATATCCCCTCCCGATCCCTTTACATCACAGCAGCTATTTAATATTCTCCTTCCCTCTCCTAGAGTACACTTTGCTATAGTAACTAATATTATTACGATTATTAGTTGACTGCCTCCCACTGTCTCGATCATCACCCCTTGGAACTACCACCTTGTCCTCATGGTGCCACCTTGTCCTCAAGGTGGAAGTCAGGGAATTGCCCTTGAAATTGCTGGAGCTCTTCCCAAGAGTCTTCAAAATCTAGCATATTCTTCCAGTGCATCAAAATTTCAGTCCCCCAATTGTGTTGACTCTGCTATCCATTATCTTTTCTGGAGTAACTTGCAGTTCCCATTCTTCTGAAATGCACTTGGGTTTAGGTTGCACTGGGGTAGTGGGAAATATTGTTTTCTTCAAGAGGGATAAATGGCACACTAGATGCACCTTACAGCCTTCTGGTAACTTCAAGTTATAGGCTGCAGGATTTATCTTCGCACTCACCTCATTTGCAATGGAGCCAAAGATTCATTATTTTTTGGCTTGAGATTATGATGGAATAAAGCAAAACGGCTCACTAAACTGTCTGCGCTTCTTTGTTATGGAGCAACAGTCGGTCCATGCAATCTTGGACGCGATTTTCACTATGGGTCATACGGAAACAGTCTCTCTGTGCTTTAGTACAGGGGTAAGACTGCGTACATCCGACCCCCCCTTACCCCACCGCAGGTGGGAGCCTTTGCGGCACTGGGGTAAATGAAAATGAAATGAAAATGACTCACCTCAAATGGCCCATAAAACCTGGGACTCAACTTCTGATGACTCCTGGCTAATGTCCTTAAGTTTATAGGGCTGAATCTTCAAATATACCCATTCCCCTACATCAAGTTGATCATCCCTTCTTTTCTTATCAAACGAGTTGAGATGTGTGGAGAAGAGACACAGAACAAAAGTGATATGCTTCTTCTTGGGTTGGGTGAGGCCAAAAGTGATATGCTTAAGCGCTCAGGCGCACGACTTTGACAACCTTGGGTGAGGGTATGGCTTTGGAGAGAGCAAAGTAGAGGGCGGGCAATCGTGTGGTGGAGGGATCTCTTATCATCTTTTCCCCTTCATCTTCCTTTTCTTGTTTTTTTTATCCTTTTATCTTTATATATTTAAATATTCTTTTTATCCCTTTATTCTATCTTTTTTATGTATATCCATCTCTTTTTATATTATTTTTTTATCATAGTTTATCTTTTTTTCTTTCTTTTCTTTCTTTTCCTTTTGGTGTTGATATCAAAACGTATCGATCCATGTTAGTCGACCCCAAAATCTTTTGCGTCTAAGGCTTGGATGTTGTTGTTGTTGTTGGTACTATGGGGTTTATGTCAATTTCATGTTTAATCCACGTCTTTCATTTTGTTCACTTTTGATACTTGACTAATGTTTCTTAAGCATTTATGGTCCTTTTACGGTGATTTTAACCACCGGAAACATTGAAGGACCATATATGAGCGAAAACACAACAGTTTGTACTAAAAGTGATCAAAATCAAAGATTGGGCTTTAGAGCTTCATTGAATTTCTATAAAAAATATTGCATGTAAGCAGACAGAAAGCCAGAAGAGTCAACTTAGAGAAACTTGTCAAAATATTTCAAGTCATTCAAACCTTAAACTCATATCAATAACAGGGTTAAAATTTTGGAATGGCATCCGGCCCTTTCTTGCCCCAGTACGCAAATGAATGCCAACAAATTTCTATAAAAAATATTGCATGTAAGCAGACAGAAAGCCAGAAGAGTCAACTTAGAGAAACTTGTCAAAATATTTCAAGTCATTCAAACCTTAAACTCATATCAATAACAGGGTTAAAATTTTGGAATGACATCCGGCCCTTTCTTGCCCCAGTACGCAAATGGCGGTGTTCATTTGAATGCCCCAGTTAAGTTCATTTGAACGCCAACAAATTGTCTTCTATTTGACATTATTATTATGGAAATAGAGGCCACCAAACGGACTATTTGACATTATTATTATGGAATTTTATCAATCCAAGACATGAAAGACAGATTCAATGTCAATAAGGGACCCGAAAGATAAAGTGTATTGATATAGGGCCCGAATGATTGAAAAATATCAATTTAAGACCTTAAATGTCATGAAATTCAATATTTGTTATTTTAAATAATTTAAATATTATTTAATTTTATTAAAGTAATAAACTTTTGTGAAGAAAAAACATCAAAAATTAATGATGAAATTAATGAATAAATAAATAAAACAAAATCTATGATATTTTAGGTTTTTGATTGATAGTTTTCATTCATTCAGACCCTATAGCGACACACTTTATCTTTGAGGTCCTGGGTGAATAAAATTCCAGTATACCTCAAAATAAGATCAAATATCTATTTATGTATATCTGCACAAGAAAGAATTACCATATTTTAGGCGCACGTGAAGAAGGTATATCAGGCATGTCATCTTAGGCTTCCTTGGTTTTTTCCTCTCGGAATTTTATCAGTCCAGGACCTAAAAAATAGAAGAATTATCAATCCGGGATCTGAAAGATGAAATGTATCGATATAGGACCCGAATGATGGAAAACTATCAATCTAGGACTCGAATGATTGAAAACTATCAATACAGGACCTAAGTTTTCATAAATCTTATTTTTTTTTTCGAAAATTTAAATATTATTTATTTTTATTAAACTAATAAATTTTTGTGAAGAAAAATTCATCAAATATTAGCAATGGAATAAATAAAAAATTAAATAAATAAAATACTATGAAATGCTAGTTCCTAGATTGATAGTTTTTCATCGTTCGAGTCCTATATCGATATATTTCATCTTTCAGGTCCTGTATTGATAAATTTTCAATCTTTCATGTCCCGAACCGATAAAATTCCTATTAAAAACTACCTTGGAGGCAAAGAGTCTAATAGTCAAGCTCACAAATCACAACTTTATTAACACTACACCACAACTACCAAGGCTTAATACGAAATCGGTGGGGTTAGCTATACTAAACAATACAAATTCCACAAAGTGCATCTACTGAAATCCTATTTCCATTCCTTTCTTTTTTTGACTGAGCTCAAATTCCAATAAAAAGACTACCTTGGAGTACGTTGTCTACCATAAGAATCTAAAATGCAGTAGAAGTGTAGAACAGATAAGGAAGGACTCCAGATACTGAGTAACTACTGGATTGATTCAAGTAAACCACTTCAAATCTTTCACCCAAACACTCCAACTTCTGCTTCTGTGAAGAAGTAAAAGTAGTTTTAAGAATCAGATCCAAACACCTGTATGAAAATACCTCCCAGATATGAACTCTTCTCGGTCAAAATTAAATTTACTTTCAAGTTTTTTAAAGTACTGGATACCTTGCGCTTCGCCATTCTGATCTCCGGCGACTCTGTGGGCATTCAAATGAAGTTAACTAGCAGGACACTTGCTTCTTTACCGGTCTACATGTTTATTTGAAAGGTTGGCCTTCAGCAATGACCGACCGGCGCGTCGCGAGGGAACAGACCGTAAAAAATTTCCCAGTTCGAGGGGTTTTCAGAGAGAGGGTCCTTAAAAATGTGCACATGATGTCTTCTGCTTTTTAAAAAAAGAAGAAGGATGAGAATAAGTTTTAGGGGGTGTTTGGATTTGATTCTTAAAACTGCTTCTGCTCCTTCAGGGAGCAGAAGCAGAAGTTGGAGTGTTTGGGTAAAAGTGCAGAAGTGATTCTGGTGCTCTAATTTACTCCTAGAATCAGTTTTTTTAGAAGCTGGGGTGACCAGCTTCTGAAAACTGATTCTGATTCTGCTTTTTCTTTAAAAAAGAAGCAGAATCAGAATCGGTTCCAAACACCCCCTATTTTCTAAAAAAATCATTCTAGGAGTGAAATAGAGTATAATCATTTATGTACTTTCACTCAAACACTTCAATTACTCTTGGTTGTGACTTTCGTTATTTGGATGAGTCCAATTTAGTGATTTCTGATTTATGAATTTTTAGCTTGAAACGGTTCAAATGGTTGATTCCTGTGAAAAAGAATTAAAATATACTCATACGTATTTAGTATTAAAATAAAAAAAAAATTACATGAATAATAACTAAAATAATTTTCTACAGTAAATTTTGTCAATTCAACCCAAAGAGCATTTTATTTGAAATAATTTTCTACAGTAAATTTTGTCAATTCAACTCTAATCTTACTTTATTTTATTATTGCACAATTCAACGCGTGAATCAAAAGTTACATTTTATGTGAAAAAATTGATTGATTAAACTTATAAGTCGAAAAATAGAATCATCAAACGGGCTCTCTATTTTAGGATATGATTTACTCTCTTTTATTACTAGTATAATTTGTAAGGATCTTTCAACTTTTTTCTTGGAAGTTGCCAAGAGACACCTTAACATGGAACCACCTTCTAGGAATGAGCTATCCAACAAATGAAAATATTAAGAAGATATGGAGAAGATGGAAGCACTACCTCTTGTCTCCAAACCAACCCTATAAATAGAGTATTCTATTGTTGTTCATATCATCAGTTTAGAAAGTGAGAAAAGTGTGTGAAGAGTGAAATACACTAAGTGTGTAAGTGTATTGGTGAGGATTGGTTTATGTAATAGTTGAGTGTGAGAGTTTGTTCCTCCTATTGTAATTCTGTTCTTGATATTGAATAGAAGAATTTTCCAATCCCAACAAGTGGTATCAGAGCGAGGTTGAGTTTCCATACACTTTTTCTCATTTTACAGAAAAAATTCTACAGGTTAGAAAATCGTGATTTTTGAAGTTGCTCAGAATCACGATCTGATCATACCGGTAGATTCGTCTCGTCGAGAGGAGAAATATGGTATTTTGGGGTAATTTTTTGGCCACCGGAAGAGGTCGTACGCGCCGCCCAACCGCTGCGTGGAACAGCCTGCATCATCACGCGCAGTCCAGAGGAAGAAGACGACCAATCAGCACCACGTCAGCGCCAGGTCATCACCACGTCACGCCTTGTCAGCTCCAGGTCAGCAGCCACGTCATCCGCTCAGTCCGCCGATCTGAGCCACGTCATCTGACACGTTAGTGCCACGTCAGCGCCAGCCCAGAGTCAGATGTTGCCACGTCATCCGCCTGCTTGTCTGCACATTGGGCTTCTGCCTGAACCGGACCGAACCGGTTCGTAGTTGTGGAAGCCGGTTCACCCTTTTCCAGACCGTTTTTGGACGAGGTCGGACCGGTCCCTACCATTTTCGGCCATTCCGGATCCAACGGTGAGCTCCGTTTGTCCAAATTCGGCTTTGAAAATAAGGTACGAGATATATTGAGCGTTTTATTATGGATAAATCATCATCGGACATCATGATTGCGCTCACTTCCACAAACTACAATATGTGGAAGCCTCGGATGGAGAATTTGCTAAATTTGAGGGATTTAGCTGATCCTCTTGATAATAATAGCGTCAAACCGGATAAGAAGACAGATGAAGAATGGACAAAAATGAATCGAAAACTATCACACAGATTCGACAGTGGATCGACTATAGTGTGTTCCACCATGTCGCTCAAGAACATAGTGCTTACACACTATGGGAGAAGCTTGGTAGCATGTATCAAGCAAAAAATGCCCGAAATAAGACGTTACTAATGAGGCGATTAGTAAAGCACAAGTTACGAGATGGTATTTCGGTGTCAGAACACACCAGTCAATTCCAGGATCTCGTGAATCAATTGAGCACCACCGGATGGGTTCTCAATGATGAAGAGCAGGCGATACTACTCTTGAGCTCTCTACCTGACAGCTAGGAGACTCTTGTTGTCACTCTCAGTAATTCTGCTCCTAATGGGAATGTGACTATGCAGATGGTCACAGGTGCCCTGATGAATGAAGAAGTCCAAAGGAAGGAAGCAGGGACGGAACAATCATATGACCTCATATCAGAAACTAATAGACGAGGGGGGCAGAAATGGAGGAAGAAGTCGAGGTCGAGGTAGAGGCCAAGGTCAAAATAGAGGAAACTCTCAAGTTCGCGCCAGATCACAAGAGAGAGGTATGTTCTTTGAAAACAATACTTGATTTGAATGATATTGCAATTAATGTGGTAATTATGGGCATAGGAAAAGAGATTGTAGAATGTTTCTACGAGAGCAGCCACAGACGAGTCATGAAAATACTAGCCAAGAAGATGGTGCAACCATGGTTAATTTGTCATCAGACGTGTTACCTTTGGTGGTGGCCGGTCAAACCACATCTCTGATTCTGATGGCTGGTGAAACAAGATTATTTATTTATGCTCTTTCGTGTTTTTAGTCAAAACTATTCTATTTGTGTAAATTCTTTTTTGAATAGCAGTTGTGTAAGGAATAAATGTATTTAGATTTCGATGATGCTAGGTTAATTAGAATATTAGAATACCTCCTTTAGACATCTTGTATTAGAATTTTTCTAAGTGTATGTAGTAGCATAATCGACGGAACAGAGAACCTCAAGGGTTTCTGTCTGGATTAGATTAGCAACAGAGATAGAAGACCAAGTTTTCAATAGAAATGCTCTCTGCTGCCTCACCCAGAAGTGCTCCACACTTGAAGAATTCTGAGTTACTCCAACGGCCGTGAAACTAACCGGAAATTCCCTAACGGCTAGGAGTCTCTCAACGGAACATGGTACTGTTCACGCATTAAATGCACATTTAATGCGAAACGTACGTTAAGATATTTAAAGTTGATGATTGACCATGCGGATATCCTTTCGCCCCCAAAATAGCAAGACGAAGAACCAACCGGTCAAATCAACAGTACAATTATTAAATGAAGCTGTCTTCTACACTCCAACAGGAAGACTGCTCCCAGTATATAAGATACACTTTGAAGAACAACTGGATAATTTTTGCTCTCACAACAACATTCAAACATTCAAGCTTTCTTGAGACCTCAACTTCATCTTCTTCAACAAGAAAAGCTTACGTTGGAAAGATATCATTTTCCATATCCTTTCTTCTAACACGAGCAAAGTTCACCATGTTCTTCAACACTTCAAAAGCCTCATTTGTATTTGCCTTAGTATTTTCCTGAGGCTACCCGGACAGAACTCTTATCCGCTGCCAGGTCCAATTCTGCCAACATAACTCGACCTTCTCTGTCACCTATCCAGACCTTCTCTGTTGATTCACTTGTGACCTTGAGAAAAGTTTGAAAAATCCTGAACAATCTATTCACCCCCCCCCCCCCCGCCCTCTAGACTGTTCCTAGTACAAACGGGACCAACAAGTGGTATCAGAGCATCATTGTTCTTGTAATCTTTTAGGGTACTTGCTGAATAAAGATCCACTTGTTTCTTAGCCATTAGTTTAAATCTCTACTAAGTTTGATGACTGGAGGATCAGGATGAAAGCACACATCTATGCTCTGCATGATGAGATGTGGGAAGTTCTGGAGGCAGGTCCTTTCACACAGTTCAAAAAGGTGAACCCAGAATACCTTGCTGGTGGTGATCAACCTCAGATGATCATCAAAGGATGTCATGAATGATCAACTGAAGAAAGGAAGAAATACAACCTTGACAACATTGCCAAGGACATCCTCTACAAAGCCATAGATGATAAGTATTTCACTACAATCAAGAAGTGCACCTCTGCCAAGGAGATCTGGGATACTTTCACCTTAATAGGAGCTGGTGATGAGCAGGAGAAAGACAACAAACTTACTATTGCATGAAGAAGTTTGAAGACTTCAAGCTTCTCCCCAAAGAATGCATAGCTGAGATGTATGCACGTCTGCTCACCCTCACTATTGAAATTTCAGAACTTGGGAAGGAACTGACTCCCAAGGAGATCAACTTGAAGGTTCTAAGAGGCCTACCTTCACCACAGAAGATGAAGGTCACTGCCATGAGAGACAGCAAATATCTCAGAACCTACAGCACAGAGAAACTCATCTCAGATCTCAAGTCTTATGAGTTTGAGATGAATGAAGAGGAGAAAGAAGAAGTTGAGGACAGAACTACTATTGTCTCACTGCCAGCACCTCTAAGGTAAATGACTTTGACCCTTCAATACTTTTAACTGACGAATATATGGCTGCTTTTGCCAGGAAATTTATGAAGCCCAAGGAGGGCAAAAGTCCATCCTCCAGCAGAAAACCATTTCAAAAGATCAAATCTTCAAAAAGTAGTGGAGAGCTTCTCTGCTACCACTGTAGACAGTCTGGGCATTTCAAAGCCAACTGTCCACACCTCATAGTCTCCAAAAGGCAAGGCCAGGAAGGAGAAAAGAAGTATGAAAACAGAAGGAGGAAAGCTCTCATTTCTGAACAACCAGAGAAGGATCCCCTCTCTGAGACAGAATCCAATTCAGAATCAGAATCAATGGATACAGAGACAGAAGACCTATGCCTCATGGGTCAATCAGATGATGAGGTATCCTCTACTTCTACTTCTAGCTTTTCTTCGGTAGGCTTAGCTTTTAATTCTGATCCAATTTCAGAATTTTGGGAAGAGTTCAAAGCCATCCAAACCACTTACTCCTCTCTTAAAGAAGAAAACAGTAAGCTGAAAGTTGAAATCCTTGACTTAAGAAAGGAGGTTGAGATCAAAATCAATCTTCTCATTAAAGAAAGAG